GAGAAATAAACTTGTGAATTCTAATACTGGTCAAATTAAAGCTGCAAAATTTAATTACTATCGTATTTGCTTATTGTCTACTACTTACTAATGAAATGTTCGAATTCATGCAAATTTACATTTGTTCAGTGATTCCTAACACTTACTCCCTTCACTATTACCCCTTTAGGTCTCATTTGCAACTGCCGTGCATAGCAGACGTTGCCCATTTGCAACTGCCGTGCATAGCAGACGGGTGTGTCTAATAGAGCTCCTGAAAAAGTTGAATTATTTTCTTTATTCTAAATTACATTGACTCACTGGGAATAGATACTTATTATAGGCGATAGTAATCTGTCGATTATAGTATGCCTCCCAAAAAAAGTCAGCACATCCAGACCGTGGCAAAAGTGACTCGAGCCACGGTCAGATTTTTCCCACCTAGGATTTTCCGGGGTTCACCTTTGTTGGATACTGCATTACGCATTTTTAAGAACTATATATTAATTGTTTGAAATACAGCAAAATTGAGCAAATATAGGTCTATAGCAAACAATTTGAACAATATCTTTCGTAATTGTCCTCATATTAATATGGATACGTGATTAAAGCAGGAAAAACTTCCGAAATATATTCCTTGATCAATAGTATAATTATCCAGTTAAACACTGAACTATATAAAAACAGCCGAAAGCGTGCCGAATATGTTCGGAAAACAGTCGTAAATTCGAAGCTGTGATCACAGCCACAAAATGCCACAGTCAGCGTGCAAAAAATTGCGCAGTTGTTACTAAATATAGTAACTTTCTGCCACGGTGCAGCGTTGCAAACCAATCACAGGGCCAGTTGTGGTCATGTGCGCCACGGTCTGCCACGGTGGCTCTATTTTGATTGCGCAATACAAATGATCAACAATAAAGTTCGATACTTGTCGACTTGACGGGATAAAGTTACACACAAGCTACATTGGGCAGTTTTGAATCGAATGCTATCAGGATGGAAGCTTTTAAAGTGCCCCTGTCACAAAATGAGAGTTTACATCATTAGAATCGTCTTGAAACGTAGATTATGAAAATACAAAACAGATTTAAAATTGAGCTTGTTTTCACAGAGTAATAAGGCAATGAAATTTGAAAATTTCAAATTTTAACGGCAAACGTTCGCTTATAGCCTTTTAGTGTCCTATAAGTGCCGAAATAGACCTTTCACACTTGCACTGTAAATATTTAAACTATCAAGGTCAAATTAGGTCATTGGTACCTGTCAATGCTTAGGAAACAGAGCTATACAAGCAATTGCCAGTTGCATCAGATCTAAAAGAATAACCAAAGATTATATTATTATTATCTTTATAAAGTACATTTGCAGAGCTATTATCAGTCAATCAATACTCTATAAAGCATGTACACAATAAATATTTTTTATCCAACATGATCAAATATTTGAGATCAAATTTCTGCCACTTGAGGTGTTTTAATTTTATACACATATAAATGAATATGTATGCAGTATATGAAACTTTGGACCTATTCCTCGCACAATTATGCAAATCGTACGTTCAATTCAACGATTTATTGTTCAAAATTCAAACCACTTTACCTTATTGCCATACACCTCTTTATAATCTCCTGAAATAGACGACGAGAATTCGAGAAATCAACACATCTCAGCTAGATAGTTTCGGCCAAGACAATTTTCTTGCATCCATCGAATTTATCTGCTTGAAATATTCTCCACAGAACACCAGTAAGCATTCCTTATCGTCACTTTCAAATAACGATCTAACCTTTTCGAAATCTACGTCGTTCATTTCGATAATAGTAAATAAATTGCTTGTAAAATTGTACAAAACTGCAATAAAGCTGTGAATAAAGCTACCAAGTGCACAATGCTTCCAAATTGAAGATTAGAAGACCAATCAGAGGAGATGTTCTTTAACTCTTTTGCGCAAATTGTCCAATCAGAGGCTGTTATCTATTTGCAGAATTAGTCAAAATAGTCAAAATTTCGCAATCGTTAGTCAAAATAGGTCTGACCAATCAACATGTCTGTAATGTGTAATCTGAGCAAATTTGACCAATCAAATCACATGAACTAAAACGCAGAATAGTCAATTTTCATTTGAATACCGCTTATTTGACTTATCGTTTGACTAATCAATCGCTGGCTCAATGTGCAAAAACTGATCGAAGTTTATATGCTGAAGTGTGATAGAGTTTTGATTACGTGATCACAAATGAAGAGAAGTGTTTGCGCTGGGAAAAAATTCAAAAACCTGAGTCCAAATTTTTTTATATGCCTTTTTTTTACGTTAGTCGCGTGACTAATCTGACTACCCCTAGATCCGCCCCTGGGAAGACATTGCCTTCTCGCCTAAGTGAAAAGTATATAAATACTAACGAGTGAGAATCACAATCAAGCTGGTCAAAATTCGATACAAATGTCTTCGTCGAGTTCAGATACGGAAAATAACAGTTACCAAAGCGATGACTGCCTAAAATTATATTCCTGGGCCGTATCAAATCGAGTGAAATCGATGAAAACACCAGTGAAGCGTGGTCAACGTCGTGCGCACAAATGATCGGCGCTGCTTGATCCATATGTTAATGAACCATGCAGTGACCGACGAAGATTGGCTCAAAAGTTACTGCGAAAAAAAGCAATCACAACAAACGTCTTAAGCAACTACAGCAAAGGCTTGATAGTTCAGAAGAATTGAGTAAATGGTAAATATTTCACTCTGATTTTGTTGCGTGACTTGACCTTGTGTTGTAAATTACAAACTATAATATTTCATGTGTAAACGTGGCAATTGTCGCATTGAACTGCTTTATAAATTATGCTAAAGAGTGTCAATGTTGTATGGAAATTGGGGAGTGCGTCGATTCTCTACACAGTGACATTGTGATTTGTGATGCAAGAAGCTGAAGTCGCGCCATCATGTATAATTCAACAGCTATGGCTAGATAAGTGAGATCTCCGTTCAGCAGCCACGAAATTACGAACAAGAAAGAAACAGGAATACCGTCAAACAAGCACAGAAGATAGGTAAATAAAGTTTTATCTATCAACATATTGAAATTAAGAAACACTTTACCGTACCCGAGTTTACTATCAGTGAACACACGCATGCGGTACGGTAGCTGAGAGTTTATATACGGTACATACTGTACAATTATTGAATTATTATATATTTACATGTGTTCACATGCAAGTAAGCGACTTATTAAAAATACTTATTTATTTATTAATTTATAGATTCTGAAGGAGCACATCATATAGAAACTTTGTGTGGATGGTTTATGGACAACTAGGAGATAGACATTTTTGCGCATATGAGAAAATAATGCCTGCTGTTAATGAAGACTTTGTAGGATTTGTAGAGAACAGCTCTTGATATTATATAACTATTTTTCAATAAATAAACCTATTACACTGTATAAACGTGGTAATATTATACTGTATTGCGTATAGAAACAGCACATTTTCTATATTCATGACTTCAATATTGTTTTGCCAAAGAGACTGAAATTTGAGATTAAGATTTGTATCTGATGTTTTTCTGCACTTCGTGCGCGCGGGTTAATTTGTACAAAGTGTTGCAGCACGTTTAGGAATTTTTCTGACTTGTATTTCGTTCCAGCACCGTGGTTCCAGGCACTGCCTTATACTATAGCAAATGTGGCAATGACTAAGTTATTTCATTAAGTTGCTTCAATGGATTATACTTTGTAATACATTTTATATACACCCCCGCAGTATATCTGGTTTCATGCCACAATTTGTTACAAAATCTGCATATTGTACGAGTTTTCACTGCGGTGCAAACACAACGAGTGTATATATGTATAATTTACTGCGTCAAGTTTACTTATACGTACAATTCTACTTTCCCTGTCTAAACTAAAATACAAACAGTGCACATTGCTTGTAGACGTAAGAAATTGGCTTTCATCGGCTATATTTTGACCATATTCACTCATAGTCATAGCTATATTGTCGCGATATTTTATATTTCTGGTGAATCTATGACCATATCGGTTGACTGCATCGAAGCAGCTTCTAAATACAACCTATTCAAATAATGAATTTGGAATAAAAATTGCACTAGGCCATATTCAAGTGCATGATAAACGAAATTAGAGTATAAATTATCTTGGCTCTCACAGACAAAGGTTTGTCGTCGACAGTATTTGTATATTTTGGAATTGCAACGAAACCAATTTCATCGGTAGCTAACCGTGGTTTTACCAGCAAGCTCCATCTTCGCAAAGTATGCTGAACATTGGATCTCAGGTGCACGAAGTCAATCCGTGTCCTTTTCGCTTCGTGCATCTCGCCTCCAATAAAAGGTATAAAATGAAGTGAAATGCCTTACTCTGTATCTGACATTAGGACAACCGCCTACTACACATATATTCGGCAATTTTTCAGTTTCGTGACTTTTATTTGCGCTATTGCCTCCTCTATGATAGTACATGCAATAGTATTTCTATATTAGTGAGCTACATAAGTTCCTACTATTACGTCACACGCATTGTTTCGTCCAAGTCCCTTTTGCGCGGTTTTCAGATTTTTCACAAGGCCAAATTCAATGTTTAAACGGCAATAACTTTTACACTAAAAAAGCAATTTCAATTCCGCTTTCGAATTTCCGTATACTTTGTATCATAGATTTCGAAAATATAAACTCTCATTTTGTGACAGGGACACTTTAAAGGCGTGAGTGTACAACTACAGTTCATCCCTTATTCTTGCGTAGAATCCTCAACTATTGATAAAACATCCACCACATTGTATGAAAGTGCTGAGAAACTGTTGTTGGATACTCTCGACAAAATTATATCAGACCCTTTCAACAAAATTGAAGGATCTGCACACGGGAAAAAAATATTTCTCTTGCCGATTGCTTGCTAAAGAACAAAAGCGATGAGAAAAAGTATCGCAGCATACTGGGGAAGCTATGGAAAGCAGTAATAGCTGGGGATGCCAGAAAGTTGCCAACCACTCAGCGCGATAGAATGTGGAGGGCATTTCATGCCTTGTGTTCCAGTCGTGATTTTGTTGTGGAATGCGAGCATTTCCTTTATCCTGCTCTTCTACAGGATGCTACCTGCAGGCTTTTCAATCAATCTTTTGTGACCAGATTGTTTGAAAATATTATTTTGTTCAAAACCACAGTTGTCCCAACTACTGTCGCTGGTAGTCAATCTGAAGAGATAGAGATGACGGTTGTGGAGGAGAACATTTTAAGATATGCTGCGGGTTTTGTTCCTTTCTCTCTGAAAAAACAGAGTTCAAAGAGACAGACCAGGACTGATGAGTTCAGGCAAAAAATTAAATGTTTAAGTGCACTTGGTGTTGATGGCGAATTGGAAAAATCCCAAACGTTCTTGGAGTATACCAGAAGTTGGATAGAGAAACAAAATCAGGAGGGGTTGTTTCAATTGAACGATGCTAGGTATCTGTTCTTTAGAGAAGTGGAGCGTCACTGTAGAAAGTTCCTCCAGCAAACATGCGTGCCTAACAATGGTTCTTAAGACATCCGGGAACTTGTTTTGAAGGATATTTACAACGACAACTTTGCTTTACAACATTGGACACATCTGTATCCCTTCAAGTCCTACAAATGTGTGTCAAGTTGTGGGTGAACATCAGAGGGCATGCGTTCGCAGCCAACTGGGTTGAAAAATTTAAACAGTCGCAATGTGCTGGAAAAAAGAAAGCACTAAGGAAGGATCTGAAAGATTTGACATTATAACAGTGTTAAGGCATGGACGAAACACGCAACTGCATCTTTTTATAACGAATAAAATCGTTTGCATAAGACAGTACTGACAACGGCTGAACACAGTTTGACATTTGCACGTGAAACATACCTTCATGCTACTCTTAATTGTCTCTTCTCTAAACGATTATCGAACGAACCTCATTGTGGCTTGTATTACCTCTTTCAATGTATTGTTAAAATCGTGCCTCTGAACCGGAACATTAGTATAGGCCACATTAGGTGGCGTCACAAGGGGCGGGAACTTTTAAAAACAAGATTGACAGTTTGAAGTAAGAACAATTAGTTGATAGACAGAGAATATAAAAACAACATTGAGACTGTGAGACATTTCGTGAGACTGTGAGAAATTTAATTTAGTTTCAAGTTTTGTAAGTTTTATTTTTGGATTTTTGATTAAATAATAGTATACTACGTGAGTAATGAGTTCGGTATACCTCCAAAATTTGCGCTGTTTTGCGTCTTTGTGTATTGAACAAAGTTGCTCTGTTCTTGCCAGAATAGTCAGTAGTCATTGTTTTGTAAAAAGCCCAACCAAAGTCTGTTTCGTGTTTTAATTTATTTTTCAACCGATGTGGAGACTAAAACCAATGCAGTTTGCCTTATTTCGTTATTTCACTCTCATGTCTAATCAATGCCATACGATTTTATTCGTTAATGGAGTAGTCATGCGTGTGCGAACTAAATAACAGAGATGGAATACTTTGCACTTCTGCTATTGATAACTAATGGACCTTTCCCCTTATAACTAAAATTTTGATCTAGACAAAAATTTCATCACAGCTTAAAAGAGCATCACAAATGAGCAATATTCCGAAGTTTCGTTCTAAAATGTTGTAAAATGCGGATAATATAGCCTTGCAAAATTTGCCGTTTTTCAGTCATTTTGTATTACGCGTAGGAAACTGACAGCCCAATCGGGTGTTGGGGCATCAATTTCCAGTCTGTAATACAAAATGACCGAAAATTGCAATATTACTAATTTTGTAATGCTCTTTCAAGCTGAGATGAAATTTTTGTCCGGACTTGTCTAGATCAAAATTTTAGATATAAGGGGAAAGTCCATTACTTTTCTGTTTTGGTCTTCTTGGCCTTTTTGGCAATGGAGTGTCGTCAATTTCTTCGGTATAGCCCGATCTCTTGCTATTTCCGCTAGCAGGAGCCAGTGCTTGAGAACCAAGAAGATGTAGGCTGTTCTCGTTTTGGTTGAATTGTGCAACTGTTGGGTTGTCATTTGCACCAGTGTGGACCAGCAAATATTTTGTCAATTCCACAAATGAATTAACTAAATAAATAACAGAATCCACGCCAAAATTAATACATATAATCTAATTCCATCATGCAGAAACTCTGAAACTAGTACATTCAATAGTTTGATGACTTAGTTTCATTTTGGCCTTTTGCTTGGGATCAAGGTTTTCTAAGCTTTCCACTGAATTCGACCAATTTCTCAGATACTCTGATACTTCACTGATTTGGCAAAAAAACAAACAAATTGGTTATACTGTATACATTTTAAGTATTGACAGCACTCGTACTTATCAAGAAATAAGCAGGGCATCCCTGCTTTAGAATGTAATATCAAATTAAAATTAAGCGAACACCTTTAAGCGCGAATCATCAGGTGATGTGTATGGAGCCAAATCTGGTTTTCTGTTTCTGCTTGCCTCCGTCAATGATCTGGTATTCATGCAATCAAAGAATTTATCAAACATTTTGATAAACTCTACTGTGCCTTGTAACTTCTGATCATAAAATGATTGACGAGCATTCGCAACTGAAGTACTAAGTACCTCAGAACAAAAAGAAGATATTATTGATACAATTGTGAAAGTATCTTTAAAATAAGCAATAAAATTGTCAACAAAGGCAATATATACCTGGGCAGCTAAGTTGATTTCATCCTGGAATACCATGTTAGATAAATATGTTCATATTTCAGCTTTGGTACCAGTGTTAGTCTACCGCGCCAAATTAAAGTCATCCTTGTACAGGTTAACAACATGTAACCAAGAAATGCTGTAACCTCCATTCTAAAACAAAAATATGATACCGTATAGTTTGTAACTTATCTATATATGTGTATACGAGTAGGTTTTTGTCTACGAAACGCAAAGTCAAAGAGTGCTCAATACCATAAAGACAGAGCAAATATAGAATTTCGCTTACCTCAAAGTTCCGCAACAGTCTGTTTCATTCTTGGCCCCATACACATCACTTGATGATTTGTTACAGATGAAACAGACTGTTGCGGAACTTTGAGATATAAGCGAAATTCGATATATGTGTATATATAGTCAAAATAGTGATTTTTACCCATAGTTCCCTTGTTTTTTTATTCCAGCCGCTGTTTTCCCAGTTGTTCCTTACAGTTTTTATCAGATGGGGTACATCAGATATGAAAAACAAGTCCCGTTCTTCTGGACTGTAAATGTTCCTGGTTTTGTGAATCTCAATTTCCTTTGCGCTCTTGTATGGTTTATGCATTTTGATGAACTTTCTATTTGACGACTCTCCATCACAAGTATACTGGCGATCACCTTTAAACCAATAGTCTCCAAGTGATTCACTGCTTCCCAAAGCAGAGAAAAAATGAAGTCTGCTGTAATACAGCCACTGCACGGGAAATCAGCTAAAGGGTACTCTAGCCATGTGGTAATTCCACGTACCATGAAAACAAGCATGTGTAACTGGCGATGTCAGGTTTTCCATTCGTGCACTCATCTTCCAACTGCTTTTGAAAGTCTATCAACGCATTGTTTATTTCGCCTAAATTTGCAAACCCGATGAGTTCTCCTGTATGTTTGCAAAATACAAGATCACTCTTAATTTTCACTTCATCATGAAGTAACACTACATATTTCTGCCAGTCGGCCAGTTGGTGATACCTGATGTCTACAAGAAGGCGTTCGAATGACGAAGGTTGAAAGCCAGATGATACTTTTGTCCAGTGTGTATAATCTCTTAATGTTCTTTCACTAGGCAATTTAATAAATCCCGAGTCTCGCATTGCTTTGTATGCAGAACTGGGACGAAGCTTAATATTCAGGCACCACTTTACCATGATCGGATGCCACTATCTAATTTGCCTCGAGTCCTTGCATGATAATGCCTGCAGTTGTTGTTGCCAAAATAATCTTCTATAGGACCCTTCAGGTAATTCATTTGCAAAGTATACATTGTTTGTTAAAATTTCCGATAGATAGTCATTCATTTCTGTGTCCAATACATGACCTTCTTTATCGATAACTCTTTTTTAATTTGATTTTGAGTCGTGTATTACTCAACAGCCGTTTGGAAGCTGTAAGTTCCTTATGTAGAGTTTTTATCCGTTCAGTTTTCAAAATTAGTTTCTCGGTTTGAATTTATGGTAATACACACTGTATCTTTGCTCTTGATTGATTCTTCAAAATCTGGATTTCCAAGGCATACCTTTGCAGCATCGACAGTATACAAAATTTCGAAAAATTCTCCACTGGTATTTATCTCTTTGTGCTTTGTTAAGATTTCTAATTCTTTATTATCAAAATGTTGGATTACTTTGTCATGTACTCTGAGTGTCCATGTACGATCTCGTTGAACAGTTATTGACTTCGTTATTAACAGGTCCTTCATTGGATTTTTTTTCTCTTTTAATGTGAACAACTTTCAACATTTCATCACTACAGGTTAACAACGTCCATCTAAATGGGAAGGCCAACCGAACGTATAGTAGATCCTATATCTTTTAGACTAGTTGTCGGATTTGTATATGGTGGTCCTGCCAGGGGTTGACACCTATTATTGTCTCCAGTGGTAATCATGCTGGTGGTGCTTCCGTCACTGGCAAGACGTGGTTGTAGTTGGTTGCAACATTTCTAAAACAAAATAAATATTGTGAAAGTTGTATTATACAATGTGCGTTGTGGCTACCGTACGCCAATCGTATACCTGTATGCTTTAGCGTCTTATGGTTGATTTCTATTCAGTGAAAATTGTAGCGGGATCGACTTTTTAGGATCGCTTTCTTTTGAAATGTGTGCAGTCAACCATATTCGTTCCGCTTGATTGTTTGTATTTCAAAAGTCACGCTACTGCCCTACCGAACGCGTTACAAACAACAGGCAATCAGCTGAATTGGCCTACTATCTGTTGTGTCAAAGGGTGAGTACCTCAGTACCACAAAAAATAATGTATCTGCTTATGAATTAGCATCTCGAGATACATACGAATGATTGTCTTGTGACGTCATTCACACGACGCAGACTAACCAAACCTAGAGTAAATGAGGATTATTACGCAATTATAAAGAAAATAATTCGATAAGTGATTTTTTGCATTATTAGCCTCCTTAAAATAGAAAAAATACAAGATGGAATGACAAAGTAGCATGTGATAAATAATGATTATTTAAACAATTTTGAAGATCAACGTATAAATTCTCCCTAACATGTCACGTGTCTCCATTGCACGTGTACTAATTCGTGCACTATGATTGTATGTTAGGCTGTTTATAGCACATCATTTTTTGTCTTTCTTGATGGAATTTGGAAGTACAAACTATGTGAAAAAAGTTTATTTCGATTTACACACACCACAATTTATGTTGTTACGATGATACATTCTTAATTACTCGTGGAAGGAACAAACTATTGACGTGTTGTAGTATCGAAAAAAGAATTAAGACTGTGGCCATTCTTATGCTGTCATGAAAAATATGCTGGGGAATGTTGTTTTATAAAAGATCTTTTGCAGAAAAGGAAATCTAAAAATCGATTTGTTTTGTCGATATAGATGTGGCTGAAATGGATCTGCTTGTAATCTGTACAGGACAACGGGTCAATATACAAAACTGAAAATAGGCAAAATACGGATATCAGTTTTTAACAATGCGAAGATTATGAATTTGTTTGAGAATCGTGGACTTGGAATAGAAATTAGTTTATATTTTGTTATCAAAAGATCATTTTGTTTTAATACCATTTCAAAGACAATTAGCAGCGTCGACTGAAATAGTGTTTGCCTGTTTTGATTATTGTTCATATTATCGAAGGCTGCCATACGGGTAAGTTATATTGCGAATTAAAATCTATTTTAGCGTATAGATTTCAATCCAGCATGGCCGTTTCCAATTGCAAAACTGCTGCCTGTATAATCTACTTAGATTTTCCATGTGCATCATCGCCATCCGTATATCAACACATTATATAAATTTACCTTTTCGATGTTTTCCTTGTTTTCCTTTTTATCTTTCATTTCATTTTCACAAAATCGTTTAAAAATTTTGAAAGAAATTTTATTAATACCTAGGGGCAGTTTCGGCTTTGTTAAGCCCAAGAAAAGTTTGAATTTGAGGTGTCAAGTTAATGTAAAAATCTTTTGAACTTTATTGAAAGTATGTTTAAAATACAGTACCCACATAAACACCAATGGCGACATTTGTGTTGTCAAAAACAAAAACAGTACGCACGCATTCAATGATGATGTTTGGGTTTGTTTGACCAAAAAAGAAGTAAAAAACGATAGTAGAACTCGTTCTTGTTCAAAATAGGTAATTTTAAAACCTAAACTGTTTAAAACTATAGTTGCAAGGTTCGAAATATGAAGTGTATACTTCGCAAACAAATCTGGCGACATTTGTGTTGTCAAAAATAGTATCCACACAGTCAATGATTATTTTTAGCCTTATTAACGCAAAAATAAGTTTAAAAAAGCGATAGTGGAACTCATTGGTCTATTTTTGTCAAAAATATGTGACTTTATAATCCCAAACTCTTCTAAAACTGTAATTACAGGGTTCGAAGTAAGTGTATGCTCGAAAAACAAAAATAGCGACATTTGTGTTTTCAAAGACAGTCCGCTTGCATTCATTGATGATTTTTGAGGGTTTTTGAAGCGATAGTGGAACTCCTTAGTCTATTCTTGTTCAAAACATGTAACTTTAAAATCCCAAACTCAATAGATAATCATTCGAAGATGTACACTTTTATAGTTTTTTGGTAAAATATATTGTTCTTTATTCATAATCGGAGAGACTAGTTAACACTGTTAAAAAAAATATTTATTACAAAATTTGTATATCGCAGGGATTGGTGAACGTCCTAGTGGAATCAACATTACATTTGAGAATATAACTATATGCCTTAGCAGACAAGTGACAGCTTTGTCATCAAGTTCCAGGGTTCGAAAGACAACTACTCGGGTAGAGATGTAATATACGTGCGTAATTTTTTTGTCAACGTTGTAAAAAACCTATTAATGATTGCTTTTATAGGGAAAATTAAAAATATAAACGTACTCACCTTGGCATATATTCTCTGCTTTTGGTCCCGCCAAAAAAATATTTTACCTTTGCATTTGTTAAAAAAAGGGGTGGATAATGCAAAATCTACATTTTTAAACTTTTTTAAAGGCCGGTTGCCACGGTAACTGATAAATTGCTACCTGCTAGCCCGTATCACGAATGCCGCGTTCGCGTCATAGCGTTTTGCCTAGCGTTTCCAGTCCATTCCTTTGATTGTCTATGGTTCGACGAACTATTAAATTCATTCAGCTTGTTAAAAGAAGAAAACAGCCATCTGAAGCTAGAAAATGCCCAGTTAAATATCTTGGCTAAAGAAATGGCGGATCGAATATCTAAACTAGAAGAAGATCAAGAAAATATTAATCTATATTCTCGAAGAGACTGTTTAGAGTTTCATGGAGTACCAGAGACGCCGGACGAAAATACAGACGAACTGTTCAAGCAAATCGGTGATTTAATGGAAGTTGAAGTTAAACCATCGGATATCTCGACGAGCCATCGCTTGCCTTCCAAAAGGGGCGTCATTCCTACAATTATTGCAAAGTTCGCGAGACGAAGCATTAGAGATAAATTCTACGAATCGAAGGGAAAGTAAAAAAATAGGTACGCGACGCGTACATGTATCTGCGAAAAAACGTGATTCATATGTTGTATTCTCTTGAAAGGAACTGAATAATGAAGATGTCATGGAACAATTGAAATATTTCATTATATATCATATATATTATTATGATAAATATAACAGCAAATAAGATTTTTAAGTTGAACATAATACACATCTAACAGGGCTGTACACAGTGTGGAGGGCAGCAGGGGAAACTGCCCCCCCCCCCCCCGCCATCCTCATACGCAGGTTGTCAATCTTCGCTCCTACCTCGCTTGACTTGAGACCCTGGTATCGGCTGGTCACATCACCCATCATATTTTGGCGGATTTGCTAATTTATTTTTAGGGAAAGGATAGTAATTGACATGTTTTGTTTTGTAATGTTATTTTAACAATATAAATATTTACTACAATATCTACTTACCATAATTTCCCTAGAACAATTTGGCAAATCCGCCAAAACATGACGGGTCATGTGACCAGCCAATACCACTGTCTCAATTCAAGCAAGGTAGAAGCAAAGATTGGGAACCTGGGTACGCCCCCCCCCCCCGAGAAAATTTAACTAATTTTATAATGTGATTATGATTGAACAGATAATTATGCAGTCAGGAAATAAAAAAATCATGCAAACAATATTCAAAGTGTCTTGTATAGCCAGCAGCCGGCTATTTAGTGAACTGTCATTGCCACTTGTATATCCATACCCATCGAATTTTCAAAACTTTATTGTAAATATCATATGAAGCAAAAGTTCTGTCACTTGTTGTCTTAACTTGGCAATGTTAAAGGTGATCTACAGTCCGTATGTAAACAAAGCCTTTGTTTACATTTTTGTGTCCAAAATATTGAGCTTTATTCGACAACTATTTATATTTTCGTGCTTCTAGAGTATAATAAATGATCAAGAAACAACAACCAGGCTTTTTAAGAACTCAAAACATAACTAAACTGTTTGTATCATAAAAAGTGGGCACATGCGCAGATCGGACTGTAGATCACCTTTAACTATTGAGTAACATACCAGCCTCGTATACACAAACTATTTGTCATTTTGAGGAACATGCATTACTGTATCAATGAGTCAATCATATATAGAAGACCACTAGCTGAATAGTAGGGAATGTTTTGAAGCAAGGTCATGAGTGAAGTATATAATTCAATTCCAATCCTGTGCACAGTTAACGATATACCACACTGTTCGGTTTTAAAACAGCATATCCACACAAAAACAATTTGTGTTGTGGGAGAATATCGGTTTGAGCAGAAGGTATCACAAGTTTAGTGCTGTACATATTGTGTGTCATTGATCTGATCCATGCATATAATATATGATTTAGCTGTTTAGTTAATATCCATACTAATGAATTTAGGTAAGATTGTCTTGCAAGTGGTTGGTTTTGACAAAATTATCCAGCCAATATTCACTACATTAAATCATCATTCTTGCATTAATCTCTAAACAAAAACATTCAGTGTGTTATAAAGCAAAATGACAATGTAATGAGAGGGAGAGTGGGCCGGTGGGGGATTCTTTTATTAGCATTTGAAAATGTTTGTTTAATTAACTCTGAGTTTTGTGTAAAACGAAAATGTATAGTATTTTAAGTTTAACCGGATAACATCTTAACATTTGCTCTAACACTACATGACTACATTTGATGACAGCATAGTTGGACTGTCGTTTTGAACAGAGGTACAAAAATACATGACCAGGATTTAATTCAAGATCTTCTGAGAACATCAGTTTCCTGCGACATTGTTCATTGGCAAATATATTGCCTGCTATGTTTTGACTGCATGTTTAAAATATTACAGAACACAAATACACAATGATTGTTTTACTGTGTGAATATATAATAAAATAATAAATATGTGGTATTTGACTGCTTACCATATGAAGATAAGTTTCCATCTTCGGATAGATAACTTCGGAATAATATCGAAAACAAGTCAAAATCAAGATATTTTTGAAGCCAAAATATGAAAATGGCAAAGAATAACACGACGCCAAACCTACGCCCGTTCGCAGGTTAGATACGTGCAGGGTATAAACAATGGATGTAAACTAATCGCTGATTGGCTTAAATTGGTTAAATTATATAAGCTCGTCGCTGAATGACTATGTGCTAACATACGGTAACATCACGTTTGCGATAGCATATATATCTGCTTCGCAGATACAAAAATCGTAGTTCGGCCGATCTCGGTTTTGCACGTCCTGATAATAAGTTATATGTCAACGAAAGCCTTACGCCGAAAACCAGAGAATTGTACTATCAAGTAAGACAAGTTCGAAAATCCCATCGGTTTAAGTACGCTATGGTAAGTCCTATTTAAAGAAGGACGATACTTCTCGTGTTACATCATTCGCCTCGATTAAAGAACTTGAGGATTTCAAAGCGAACATGTCAACTTCGTTTGGCTAAGTACCCTAATTTTATTCTTGCAATATTAAATTAATTCTGTGTTTGAATAATTAGACCATATTGGCTTAGTACAAAAAGATTATTTTATTTTAATAACTACGTTTCGGAGTATAACTCCATGTTCAGGTTATTAAATAACTAAAGATATAAAACTTTAAAAACAATTACAAATTTAGACACGATCCGTTAGGATTGCGAAAAATAGATGACGTGCGCTTCAAACTAATTCGTGTCCGTGCGCGCTCTTAATTTTTTTATTCATGGCGTGTCCGTGAGAGCGTTAAAATTTCGTGTCCGTGCCTGCATATGTAATTACATTAAACTATCATGTTTCGCTCGCGCGCTACTCTGGTTTAAATAAATGATTACAAAGCCCAGCCGAATTGTAATCAAGACCCAACGCTTCGACACTCCAGTCTAGTGTCTTCATCAGGGGTGATCTAAAACTGCGATCGTGGCTTCTTAAATACCCAAGGGATGACGTCACCTGCCAAGAAGATGCATATATTCCTCTGGCAAATAGGCGCCGTCATCCCTATTCAAAGCATGATAACTCATATTTATATTCCACGCTTCTAGGCAAAGTCTTTGACCATAGCGATTGTATTACCATAATCATTACTTTTAAAACATTGTTTTAGGGGAAAACAATTACCCAAAGCGTCTTCTTAATGATTGCCTGAGACCACCTGTTTGTAGGAACCAAAATAACTCCGAGGGTGATACCTCTGTTAAGGGTTTTGCAATAGTTCCATACATTCAAGGTGTCACAGAACCAACCAAGAGAATCTTAAGTAATTATAATATTAAGGTTGCCTTAAAACCCTATTAGAATTTAGGCCATATTTTCGCAAAGCCAAAAGATCCTGTTGAAAAAAATCAGAAGACTCATGCTATATATTCTATACCATGCGGTGACTGCGACAAAGAGTAGTTGGGTCAGTCTAAACGCCAGTTTGGTACACGGCTAAAAGAACATCAAAAGGCTGTTTCAACTTTAGACAAGGGAAAATCAGCTTTAGCCGAACATGTATGTTACACCAAACACGAGATTGCGTGGGAAAACTCTAAAGTAATTACCACAAACAATCGCTATGGTCAAAGACTTTGCCTAAAAGCGTGGCATATAAATTTGAGTCATCATGCTTTGAACAGGGATGACGGCGCCTATTTGCCAGAGGAATATATGCATCTTCTTGGCAGGTGACGTCATCCCTTGAGTATTTAAGAAGCCACGATCGCAGTTTTAGATCACCCCTGATGAAGACACTAGACTGGAGTGTCGAAACGTTGGGTCTTGATTACAATTCGACTGGGCTTTGTAATCATTTATTTAAACCAGAGTAGCGAGCGAAACATGATTGATATACCTGGTTGCAGTGAACGAACAAACTTTATACATTAAACTATATACAAAATCCCTTAACTTCCTGCAGCTCATCCTTTGAGTTCAGGTCTGGTTGCATTCTTTCGATGTAGAATGCCTCCGTGACCTTTCTTTCCAATGTTCCTTTTGTTTTCTTCAACATCGATGGAATAAGCTTAGGCGATTGACCCGGATGTAACTGTTTGTAATGTTTCGAGAATGCCATATGTTGGTAAGATTTCGCATTGGGATTTCGTTGATTTAAGACACGTGTATCAAAATGGATTTATTTTTTTCATTTTGACCAGCTAAACCCACAACAATCTGAATTATTTAAATGGAAGAAATACATATTAAAATGCAGATGGTATTGACAACAACACAAGTTGATAAAGATCTTTAATGTAATTTAAAAACTTCATTAATAATTCACGAGGAAAATACAAAAGAAATAAATGTTTAATCAATGTCTGTAAATCGGATAAAGATTTGTCCTGATTTACATAAATTTCAGCTTTGATTTTCTCGGCATATAGACAATGTTTATTTTTAAAATTTCTTCGCCAATGAACTCATAAGATGGGTCATTTGCATCCGATCTGTATCTGATATACAAACTCTCGCCTTCGGCTCGAGTTTGTATACCGGACACAGATCGGCTGCTCATGTTTTATCTACAGTAAATAAACTAACACAACAACTACAAGTGCATATTGACTGTTGTACTCTTGATGACTGATGGGCAAAGCTTCAAAACAGGGCAGCAAGGGTTATTACAGGTGATACTTATAATATACGTTCAAAAGATATTTTAAAAAAGTTGAATTGGAAAAACCTATCCGTAAAAAGAAAAGAAAAAGCAAGTGCGTATGCTTCAAAAGCTATTACCGGAAATTGCCCGAAAAATATAGCTGAAAAGTTTAAAACATCAAATTCTGAAAGATATGATTTAAGAAGCAATTATAAATTTTTAGCACTGCCAAAACCGAAAACAAATTCTATGGTTCGCACCTTTGGATATGCTGCTGCTAAAATTTGGAACGAAAGGAATAAATTAGAGTGAATGTATCTCTATCTCTGTATTTTTCTTTATTTTCTTTTTAATATTGTAAATAACTGGTATACTTATTGACACACGGCCTAATGAAAAGCAACCATTTTAATATTTATATATATATATATATATATATATATATATATATATATATATATATATATATATATATATATATATATATATATATATATACATACATATATATACAGCTAATTCAAAAAAGGTTGTCCTTTGCAAACCTTAATCTCTAAACCTTAAACCTTAAACTCTAAGCGCGCAAAGCATAATGGGAGTACTGATTTCAAGCTTTGTAGTTGAATAATGCAGCTGTTTGTGAGTGAAATGTTTTCGCAGGCACATATTTACCATGTCTCTAAGAAATGGGCTCCATGTATGTTTTCTAAACTGCTTAAATAGTGCTCCCATTACGCTTTGCGCGCTTAGAGTTTATAAGGTTTAAGGTTTTAGAGTTTAAGGTTTGCAAAGGACAACCTTTATTGAATTAGCTATATATATATATATATATATATATATATATATATATATATATATATATATATATATATATATATATATATATATATATATATATATATATATATATATATATATAGGTTATCATATAAGGGATGAGGTGATATCAGTTTTATCGCTCGAGGGATGATATCACAATTGTCACGAGCGAGCGCAGCGAGCGAGGGACAATTGTGATATCGTCCCGAGAGCGATAAAACTGATATCACCGAATCCCGAGTACGATAACCTATTTATTATATACTTGTACCTTTATCAGGGTTTGACACCCAAAGTAAACAGTTTTGATTTTTGAAAAAATAGGATCATTTTAGAATTCAAAACAATTCATCATTTACTGAACAAATATGATTTTAGAAAATAAATAGACCATTCATATAGATAATATACAATTTAAGTCTTTCATTTTGTATTATCGTTCTTGTTTTCTTCGATAAACTCTCGACATCAACCAACACGAACCTCGAATCGGCCATCTTTGTTTTGACAAGGCGCGAAATTTAGCGGGACAAAAAACGATATCCGGGACGATATCGTTTTTATGTCCCGCTGCTTCCTACCTGATAAAGGTACAAGTATGTGATAAATATATATATATATATATATATATATATATATATATATATATATATATATATATATATATATAATTCTTTAATCTTAAAATATATTTAAGATATAAGAATTATTAATTATTATTATTATATTTTAAGATTAAAGAATTATTTAAGCTCTATCGTATATTGGTATTGAGCACTCTTCGTTCAAATACGGACAACAAGAATTAATTATATATATATATATATATATATATATATATATATATATATATATATATATATATATATATATATATATATATATATATATATATATGCGCAGAACGGACTTTACCGCATCTTTAAATTAAATATATATAATTTCGGCACTGCTTGCAGAGTGCGAAACAAAAACAATAGAATTTAAAGGGACTGAAACTAAGTCGTTCAAAAATTTAGCTTCACTTTTTGGATTCGAGTTCTCGCTCAAAGAGCTGAAATTGGCACGCATGCCTGCATGGTATCACTCTTTGTCGGTATAAACCTATTGTCGTGTTTTATAAGATATAAGCCCTCCTTGTGGTATGGCGCGAAACTATCTCTAACTATTCCTGCATTTATATACTGTATCCAATGTAATGTCTCCCTCTCCACTGTGGAAGTCAGCTCGGTTGACAGGGTTAGCGTGGGTATATAAAGTTTTTCTATCTGTCTTCTATCTATCTTGTATGCATGAAGACATATATACGGACGCATTTGGTTTCCTGGAAACAATGACAAAAATTATTTTCCTGGAAATAGAATTGATATGTTACTTCATATATATATATATATATATATATATATATATATATATATATATATATATATATATATATATATATATATATATATATATATATATATGAAGTAAACATTGTTGCACAAGCTTGTATTCAAAAAATATCTGAACTCCCAACGACGGGAATCGAACCCTTGTCTCCCGATTGCCGGTTCGGTTGTTTTACCACTAGACTATAGGGTTTCAGACAGCAATGCGATGTTAACTAGAGACCTGGTTCCTACCGTTTATATGCGTCCTTTGTACTTAAGGTTACAGAACACCTTTGAGTGTTAATTTTGCCTAAAATTTTTTTATTGGTTTCAATGAAAGCAGTAGACTAGTTCTACTATCTCACCAAGTTTGAACAAAAAATGTTGAAAACTCGCGGAGTTATTTAGTAAAATACATTTCGCTGCAATAAGAAAAACATTGAAAATGTAATATTCAAATTCAATTTTCTCCCGAAAAATTTTACGGTAATTACTGATTTTCAAACGAGTTGTGCTCCTGCGGGTTTTAACCAATTTTTCTCAAATTTTCACAGGACATAGCTAAATACGTCTGTTTCAAAATTGTGTTCGGCTTTTTTAAATTTTGCATATTTTAAAAATAAAGAGCAATTCACTCAAACAATTCAGAAATATATTGCAGTCGTCAAAGAAATCGCCATATCAACGGAATGACGAAATAAACAAAAATTTCCGAACACAATTTTTAGAACAACTATTTTACTGTATAAAAATGATATTTTCATAAATATAACTTAAAACCAACAGGAGCACAACTCAAAAGCGTAACGGTACCGCGATTTAAGATTTTCCTGAATAATTCTTACATTATTTTATTGTTTGTTAATTTTAAAACTTTACCATATTTTGCATGCACTGGAGAACATTTGGTGAAAATTTGATAAAAATCGGACTTATATTAAGCGCGCAGTAGCGATTTTCCGCAAAACGCCAAAGAGGGTGTCCTGTAACCTTAAAGGCTCGTCATACTATTTTGTAATGCGATATTGTTGTGTTTGTGTGTTCATATACTAACACTAGTACATGTTGTAAGCTTGGATATATGTGAAGTAAAGATTGTTGCTCAAGCTTGTATTCAGAAAATATCTGAACTCCCAACTGGAATCGAACCCGTGTTTCCCGATTGCCGGTTCGGTTGTTTTACCACTAGACTATAGGGTTTCAGACAGCAATGCGATGTTAACTAGAGACCTGGTTCCTACCGTTTATATGCGTCCTTTGTACTTAAAGGCTCGTCATACTATTTTGTAATGCGATATTGTTGTGTTTGTGTGTTCATATACTAACACTAGTACATGTTGTAAGCTTGGATATATTATGTGAAGTAAAGATTGTTGCTCAAGCTTGTACTCAGAAAATATCTGAACTCCCACTGGGAATCGAACCAGTGTCTCCCGATTGCCGGTTCGGTTGTTTTACCGCTAGCCTATAGGGTTTCAGACAGCAATGTGATGTTAACTAGAGACCTGGTTTCTACTGTTTATATGCGTCTATAAAAATGAAATGGACGCACTGTCTGTTTGTAACTATTTTCTACGTACTTTAAAATCTATAACAAGCATTATTTTCTATTGCAATTTTCTTTCACGGTTGTGGCGGGCCTCTTCCTTATAATTATTAAAAAAACTTTCCATTTATATAGATCTGGCTCATATTTTCAAAGGTGATTTATCCAACAAGGATACTTGGGAATTTGACTTTAGTGAAGTTTCAAGACGAAAATTTGGGCGACGTTATATTGAACAAACGAGTTTTGATCCTCAAGCCAGAAATGCAGATATGTTTAATCCTGTGAGAGTTGCTGAGGATGGTCTGGTACTGTTTGAAGATTTTGGACCTGGCATTTGTGAGCGAGTCCTAATTCTTCACCGATTGGATTTGAAAAACATGGATTACGTTACATTTGAGGTACGTAACATCAAGCGTGGGGTCGAGCGAAAGAAGAATTCTACACTGAGTATATATAAGGGGCCGCTCAGGCGATGTCTGGCAACCTAGCTGAAAAAGACTATAAACCTAACAGCCATTCCAACTTTTGGGTGAAACATAGTGTTCGCATCAAAAAAGGACTATATTCCAGAAAAAGGACTGACAAAGGCCTTTCGCGGAAAACGTCTATAAGTGTTTTGCGAAACAACTAAGTTGTCACATAGCAACTATATACGACCCATTTCATTGTTTTCTAATAGACCAATTGCCACCAAAAGCGCAAATATAGACTTATTACCTATCGGAAGGCACGGCGCACTGCAATTCGGAAGTTAGATATCAATTCTATATCCAGGAAAATAATTTTTGTCATTGTTTCCAGGAAATCAAATGCGTCCGTATATATGTCTTCATGCATACAAGATAGATAGAAGACAGATAGAAAAACTTTATATACCCACGCTAACCCTGTCAACCGAGCTGACTTCCACAGGGGAGAGGGAGACATTACATTGGATACAGTATATAAATGCAGGAATAGTTAGTGATAGTTTCGCGCCATACCACAAGGAGGGCTTATATCTTATAAAACACGACAATAGGTTTATGCCGACAAAGAGTGATACCATGCAGGCATGCGTGCCAATTTCAGCACTTTGAGCGAGAACTCGAATCCAAAAAGTGAAGCTAAATTTTTGAACGACTTAGTTTCAGTCCCTTTAAATTCTATTGTTTTTGTTTCGCACTCTGCAAGCAGTGCCGAAATTATATATATTTAATTTAAAGATGCGGTAAAGTCCGTTCTGCGCATATATTCTGCGCATCAAAACATTCCAACAGTGGGGTAACAAACACCGCGGAAAAACGTCTGCGCATGCGTCAACCTTACCTGTAATAGTATGGCGAACTTGATGAGAAGCTGTTCTGAACGTTTCCGAAGGCTCAAAATGGCGGTAAAAAGGAGTGACTTCATTGTGTGTCTTTACAGCCAGATTTCGAGCGCAAAAATAAACATGTCATTCTAAAAACTAGGAATAAATACAGCCAGAAGGTTCAAGAAATTGTATTGTACAAGAACATGAACTAAAGGTGATTGTTGACAAATTTATCGTCTGAAACATTTTGTTTATCAACTAAGCAACGACAATTTCCGAATTTTCGTTTGAGATACATTTCTTTAAAAAAAACTGTGTCGCCAAATATAAAAAATTTTCGTGTTCACAATAATTAAACTTTAGGATTTATTCTACAATTTGAGTGGGTTAAGAAGCTTAACTTTTCGAGAGTTTTCTTAACTTTTGAGTTTGAATTTTTGTTTTGAATAATTTTGCAAAAATTTTCGAAGTCGTGTCCGTTAAAATCAACAATTTTTTACATGAATTATATTTCATTCCATACTTTAAATGCCAAGACGCTTTCAATTAATGTCTAGTCTACCCATTTGCTATATTTTCTCGTTTGTTTTACTAATTTTTGACCAATTAATAAGCATGTTTTTGTTTTTGAAATTGATATTCAAATTCCCCGCCATGTTTTCATAATTTGGTGCATGCGCAGACGTTTTTCCGCGGTGTTCTGTCTAGGCGGTCTAGCTCCTTCCTAGCTCTGTATAATGAATATACCGTCTAAATATTATCGACACTAAATTGAACGCCCGTAATGCATGAGATCAATTTATATATTGCGTAGATTTTCAAAAATTTACTCAATATTCACGTCTGAAATGTTTATACATCTGAAAACAACACTGTCACTCCTTCCTAGCATATCGTCACGCCATCGTGATCTACGGCTTGATAGCGCATGCGCATTTGCGCAACTAAAGAAAAATCGGGTGTTCCGGGGTAATGATCCTTTACACAACATGAGGAGCGAATGTTCTATAATTTACAAAAAATTACAATAACAAAAGCTATTCCTCGAAATTTTTGTGAACTTGGCTAAAGAATAACAGAATATGTAAATAAGTTAACTGAAATTGCTTAAATAACCTTCAAAGTACTGACAAAGCACAATAAATCACTACGAACATAAATCGTATCCACCCCCCGGAAAGTATACTGTATGACTGAATGAATGAATGAATGAATGAATGAATGACGGATAAGTTTGAATTTCCCCCCAGTCATCACAATACTGTGAAGTTTCAAAGAAACTTCACACTAAAAATGAATGTACAAAAAAAAAAATTGTTCGATTCATTTGTTTTAAATCTTATTCGGATCATTCTGAACCATTATTTTTGGACTTGAAAATCTTGAATGTCTACAAAATTAATTATTATCTATGTAGTATATTTATGTATAGCCTACGGTATAGACCCCAGCAGAAACACGTTTCGTGAGGGGTCTACGAATAAACGAAGAAAAGCTTGCCCGGTCTACGTCATATCCGATTTACGTTTTGAGTAAATTAACTTCAATTTATTCAAATTTCTGAAGCGTGCGTAAATGTAAATTTTCATTTGGCGCTTATTAAAATGTTCCATGGCAGACTTTGTGCAATAAAATATACCTTGACTACATATATATACCCAACCATTAACACATGTCCGAACGGACTAAAAGGTTCTTGTCATTCGTACAAACTGTTAGGCTGTTGAAGGGTTGAGGCGTGTCAAGACATCCAATTTCTGAAGTAGAAGTGTCTCTCGAAATATCCCAGTTTCCTCACGACATTTCGCTGTACTTTAAGCGGTATACCAATAGCGTTTATAATGCTGTTTTGTTCACGTTCGTTATTGTATTGTCTAGGCTCTAGTTCACATATTAAACCGTTCTTTGAAGCTTCTCCGTTTCACGACTTTCACCGTTTGTTTCCTAACGCCAAGCGGCCAAGCATGCTTTACAAATGCTATTTGTAGGTGAAATGGAGAAGGAATTCAAAGGTTGTCTAACTCCTTACGTACAGTGTCATTGCTCTCCAAGAAATTAATATTGCATTTATTCGACGGGACTTTGAAGCAAATAACACATTTGTATTGCACAGAGTCCGCCGTGGAACATTTTCATTAATAAGCGCCAAATGAAAATTTACATTCACGTACACTTTAGAAATTTGAATAAATTGAAGTTAATTTACCCAAAACGTAAATCGGATATGACGTAGGCCGGGCAAGCTTTTCTTCGTTTATTCGTAAATCCCTCACGAAACGTGTTTCTGCTGGGGTCTACACCGTAGGCTAATTTATGTATCGATTATTTTGTGATTGATCATTGTGATTAGTTTAAACAAAATAGTGAATTACACAATTATAATACACGCAATTATATAATATCGTAAATATACTGTGTTTATGCAAAGGGGGTCTCTATATGGAATGGTCTCAATGACAATATAAAAAATAGGTACGCGACGCGTACATGTATCTGCGCATTGAAGGTCCAGACACACCGGACGCGATTCGACAAAGCGACGCGAAGTTTAAATTTTCCAAATATTTAGAAGCGCTATCACATTTTAAGTTATTTTGTCTACATATCTTTCAAAAATTGCTCTCATTGGCTGTTTTATTCGCGTTGTCAAATTGCGTCCGGTGTGTCTGAACCTTAAAGGTCCATACAGACCGAATGCGATTCGACAACGCGACGCGAATTTTCAGTTTTCAAAAATAAATAAAACCGTCAACGGATTAAATTTTACAAGATATGCAGACAAAATAGCTAAAATTGTTTAATTAAGTGGTTTACCTAGGAACTCAAACATGGGAACATGTCTATTTTTTTGCAGACAATCCTGACACTATGTGGGAAATGCTTGGAAGACAATTAATACCTTACTTGGTAAACAAAATCAAAGAACTAAAGTAAACAAATTAAACTTAAATGGCATAAAATTAACAAGCCCTGATGAAATTTCTAAGGGCTTCAATACCTTCTTTTCAAATATTGGACCGAATTTAGCCGAAGAAATTAGTACACCAGGATGTCATTCTAAAGACTTCCTTGACAAAACTAATTCTGAATTTACTGCATTCCAGTCAGTTACTGTTAGTCATGTTTGTCTTTTATTACGTGAACTGTCTGGTAGCAAAGCTACTGGCCTGGATAAAATAGCCAGCAAGATAATCAAAATTGCTGCACCATTAATTTCCGATTCATTGACATACATCTTTAATCAAGCAATAACTTTATGTACTTTTCCACATGAATGGAAAATTGCAAGAGTAATTCCCCTTTTTAAGAATGGCAAACGAAACTTGCCAGGAAATTATCGACCAATTTCTGTGCTACCAGCCATTAGTAAAATTATGGAATGTATCCTATATAGTCAACTTTATGAATATTTGAGTGCAAATAACATACTTTCTGAACATCAATTTGGTTTCAGAAAATTTCATTCAACTGCAACAGCTTTACTTGATTGCACAAATGATTGGTACATAAACATGGATAGAAAACTTTTTAATTTGGTTGTATTTGTAGACTTAAAAAAAGCCTTTGATACTGTTGACCATGAGATCTTATTGCAAAAACTAAAACTAGTTGGAATCACAGGAAGTGCATTTCTATTACTCAAATCATACTTAACTGGTCGTACTCAAAGATGTGAAGTCAATGGATCTATTTCAGGGGAAAACGACATCAAATGTGGTGTACCCCAGGGGTCTATATTGGGGCCACTATTCTTCTTACTCTATATTAATGATCTACCTGCATGTCTGAGTAAAACAAAACCACGGCTGTTTGCTGATGATACAAATATCACA